TTTTAAATTCATTTTAAATTTAAAAATTTAAGTTTAATTCTTTGGTTGAAATTCAAGATTCATTTTGAATTTTTTGTACAATCACAAAAATTAGATAAAAATTCCAATTTTTTTTTTTGAAATTGGATTCGGATGGAATACCAAAAATATTCGAGACACCAACACTATACTATCCTAACCTAAATACTTTTTTCTCCAAATCCAATTTAAATACTAAAAATCTCTATCGGATTAAAAAAAACACAAGTTGGAGTGGGGGTTGGGTTTGGGTTTGGCAATTTTTAAAGTTAGATTTCGGTGACTGGTCTATTTTACACCCCCTCCCCCCCCTCTCCAAAAAAAAAAAATCATCTCCCAAATTAATATGATAATATGTGAGTCCTTGAAAGAAATAATTACGACAATAAGGACTTGGAAAAAAAAACAAATGTGGTTTGGGGACGTCGTAGGTGTTGTGGATATTTCTGAGGTCACAAACGTAAATTCAAAAATATCCAACCAATTCAAAAAAAAATTTTTGTCTTTTTCCTTAGGGACTGCCGACGGAAGTCTACAGTGTTTGGTTTCGGGTAATTTGCAGCTAAAAACACGGTTTATAAGGAAAGCTTGTCGCTTTACTTCCACACGTGCCACATACGCTCTCGTCTGGTCCCGACATATGACAGTGAAATCAAAAACACAAAAACCACACTATACGGAAACGAGTGGCGCTGGGAACCACCTGTTTTTTTTTTTTTTTTTCTCAGCACCGTTACAAGGGAGGGCGCCATGAAGTTCCGATCCACAATCTCAAAGTTGAACATGGAGTATAGTAATTCTGAAGACTAGTTTAAGCGGTATAGTAATTTTAAATCACGACGATTTAGAATATGAATACCCTAATTTTGGCGTATATAGTTTAACTTTAATAAAATCAGAAAGAGAATTAATCAATGTGTGTTTAACTTGGTCTAAACATCTCTATTAATGTGATAAAAATAATAAAAATAAGTCACTTTATTTATACTATATTAATTAAAGGTTTTAATTGTGTTAATTTCACATTATTCATGTTAACCTGTCGTGTTATGTTTGGGTTCGTGTCGAAAATTAATTAATCTTAATCCGTTAATTTTATATCAATTTCGGGTCATGTTTAAGAGATTCACCCTTAATCGAATTTGTATAATTTATAAATAATGTTGTGTTAAAATTACATTCAATTCTATCTTTGTGTAATTATGCATATAATTCGTTATAATGTTGAATTTGTCTCATCATGTTGGTGGGTCGAACCAACTAATCCTCAACAATGGGACCGGTGGCCTTTTATGGCTTATCTAAGAAGCTTTTCAATCAATTTTCAGGGGCGGGTCCGCTATCATCTCAACCCGTGAGGGCTATGGTCCCTAACCAACTGTACCACATATTGTCTTACATAGTGACACAAAATATATTTGATCGATCGAGTATAATTTGAGATGAGATTAAATAATTAATTTTAATTTAGTTTAAGCTTGTGGCTATAATTTCTCTATTAATTCACCACATTCTGATTAGGGTTTGGACAAAACACGAATTTATTATTTTAATAATAGTCATAAGATTTTGAATAGATTTATTTGTAGCAATGATCGTAAAAATAATAAAAAAAAAAAATTGTTAGACATTTTACGTTTTGATTTTACAAAAAAAGTATTATATTGAATTATTTATAATCATATATAGTGATAATAAATAATTAATATAAATTAATAAAATTAAACTTTACACATGTATGAGTAAAATATGTATAACTTCCTTGAAAAAATGGCAAGATAAGACTACCTTACAAAAAAAAAATGTGGGTATCACACCCAAAAAAAAAAAAAAAAAATCCTTAACTAATGTTATAATGATAATCATATCTTCCTATATCTTTTTATTTTTCATTTAATCTTAAATTAACTAATATTTTATTTTTTCTTTTAATATTAACTTTTGCGCTTCCTTTCATCTTTAATTTAATTTTATATTAATTAATTTTCAATCAATCATTCCCTTTTATTTTTTCTTTCATCTTTCATTTGATTCTAAATTAATTAGCTTTCGGTCATCCTCTAACTTTCACTTTTCCTCTTAATAATAAGGTTTGTCATATTCCTATATTCATTGTACCGTTATGTATAAAAAGGTCACTAAAGCATATGAGTTCGCATCCTCAATCCTCTTTGAATCTCTCTCTCTCTACCTCTCCCTTTCACACACACACACACAAATTAGACGTAAAAAAAAAGGAGAAAAAAATAGGATAATGTGTTTTTGTTCTATTAGGGATATTTAGTGTTATTTATCCATAGACAATCATCTAAGTACAGAACGAAAAATATAATATATCATTGACCTTTTTTATTTTTTTCCACTATAGTTACTATGTATAATATTTTTTTAATATTATAAAAATTACATTCTAATATAAGGTTATATTAATTTAAATATATATATTTATTTATATATTTAATAATAATTTTTATTATTCAAAATTTATTTACGTACATTGCCAATAAATATCAAAAGAGCCGGTACTAAAAATTAATTGTCCCGTACCATAATTTGACCTAGCAGGCCAACAAGTAAAAGCTGTCAAGATAACTAGATTCTCATCCTAAGTCCAGCTAGTGTACATGCACCTTCATGTAACAGTGGAAAAGAGAAGTTTCTGTGCTACTCTGCTGGCAGCTCTTTGTGGAACGCCAATGAATTGTCGGGTCAACGTGACAGTGGCTGACTTTTGCAGCCTGCGAGCATGGATTTGATAGCAAAACAATTAATTGTGTCAACCAAACCAACTAGTAGTTGTAACTGTTCATGATCGCCTCTCTTTGGTACAAAACCCTCATATGAACAAATCTAAATATGGTAAAATTGAATGTTAATCTAAATCGTATTCAAGAAGTTCGATTTGTTTAACAATTTGTTTTTAATTTTCAAAGGGGCACTTATATGTTAGGGTGAATTGTTCTTTAAAAAAAGAAAATACCAATATCATATTTTAATGACAAAAACGATATTTAACGCATGTTTGAATTGTCCTTTAACAAAAAATAATAAAATATATTTCGACAATGTTCCATAAACTCCCACCTCAAAACCTGTCATCCCATCTCTCTCTCTCTCTAAATCTCCACACTCTTTCATCACACACACATTCACACAACAAACACACACCCATCACACATAGCACAACACACACACACACACACACACACAAATAGTGATATGTTCAAATCTGTACATATATATATATATATATGGATATGCTGGATGAGAGAGAGGTATGACGTCTACATGTATCCCGTATTTTCATTAATTCTCTTTTGTCTCCAAACAAGCTAAAAACACCTTTGGCCTATTCTACAATTTTTCCAAATTATTTTATAGAATGATTTATCCATACAACTTTTCACTTATTTTTCAAATTAGAAAACAAAAAATTTGTTCAGGAGATACAATTCAAACAGGCTCTTAATTTCTAAAGAACAGAAGAGATGTCCTCTCCTTGGATGCCCCCGAGTCTAATTAAATGCCCTCAACCATATCAAGACGAATACATCACGTCATGATTGACATTAAATATCAACAATCTTATCAGACATTGAAATGAGAGAGGGCGATAATATGCTATCAAATCCAACAATTCGATGTAACAATATGTTTCAATATTAGATGAAATTCTTTTTTCACAAATGCATGTGATCATGTGGACAGACCCAAACACTATTATGATTTTGTCATTCACATAAATGAGATTAATTAATGTCCCCTTAACTACCACAATAATTGCAACAAACTTTCATTTAGTTCACACTAGCTTAAATGTGGCCATTGTGCCGGTTGGCCCTTGCCCACAACCCCTTAGAGAACGACAACTCGCTTGCCTTTCGCTGTTTCGCATCATAGAACAGTGCTGGGGATGTGCAACTTAGACAAAATTTCTTCTGAAAGCTAGTCAGTAATATACCTTTTGTTGTTACACTGAAATGCCAACAATAAGTGTATAGAGATCTAGATTTAGAATCAAATTTATTACATTTAATAGATTATTTATTATTTTTTAATATTAGATAAAACTCAATTTTAATTCAATAAACCAAATGAGATGTCACTGATACAATTCCTTCCGCCTCTAGGTTAATGATTCCAATTTGAAAGATATATATTTTTTATTTAACGATCAGGAGGTCTGAATTAACTTATACGTACTTTGACTAATTCTTTTTTTGGTTTGACAACAAACAAGTCATCCACGTGCAGGATTAGGTTATTCATATGAGATATTCGTTGGGCTTTAGCATAGAGAATACCGTTCTCTACTCAAAATCACCGAGTCACTCTCTCTCTCTCTCACGTGTTTTAAAAGACGGGAGATCATCGCATTTTTCTCGATTTTAGTACTAATCTGTTGGAAGATATCGCCTTCAACATGTAGTAATGGTGAAGGCTGAACCACTTGAATAAAAACTTATTGCGATAACGTTGCCAAGATTCAAGTTTGTGCCAAATTCACAAGATGTATACCGTGAGCTTGGCAAACGGTGTTGGATAATATTACCGCAATTTGAAAAGAAAAAGACTCAATCTTGAACTTGGAGTCATCGATATGTGTTTGATCAAGGTTCTGCATATTTGGAGTGTGAAAAAATTCCATACATCGACAGCACATGTCAAGTATTGTGAGCTTGATATTCAACTCCACTCATGAGCTGCAGTTTCTAGGTGTGACGGTGGTCCAAACATCGGATACAGCTAAGCAGTTACTTCTACCAGAAGCGTGAGGGACTTCCATGCCAATATCTTATATCTCAGGCCTAAATTTGTCATTCAAACCAATAATTATTTTTTTTTTAATTTTTATTTTCTTATTTTGTTTTTATATATTTGGTTTTTAGAAATTATAAACCTGAATAGATAAATACGGATGTTTTGGATCTTCCCAACGCCTTGCTTTTTAAGCGACACCTCGGAGCTAAAACCCGAATATTTCAGCCACCCAACACAGCCACTAGCACCACCACTCGCACCCACGACCACTTCCTCCGCCTCCCGCTCTCTCTCTCTAAACCACATTCATCCACACATTCTCTTTCTCCCCCCTCTATCTCTCTCTCCACAACTGGAAAGCAAGACGAAATCAACTGTAAATAAAATCTAACTACATAGATCTCAATCTGTACAAGTGCACAGTATAAGCCTTCCGAAATTGAATTGTTGTTATCTCTCCACCAGCTGCATTGCCACTGGTGAGTTAATTCTCTTCATCTCTGATCTCCTTGAATTCCTTAAATTTAATCTTTATGGATTTCTTAATGGCGTCTGTGAACTTGTTTTTCTGGTTTCCGAAAGCAATTTTTCTTTGTTTTTTTTTTTTTTTTTAAAAGTGAAGAGGAAGTTTCACATTGTATATACTTTGTCGTCTGTTTGCGTCGGTAAGTGTTCCGTACTGGAATTCTGGATTTCAACTTTTCGAAGCATTAATCGATTTCCTCATTTTGATCCGAATTTTGACAGCTACGTTTCGCTTTCAGTTTTGTTCTGAAAAAGAAAATATAAGTTTTTGGGCGATTCAGAGTCTTTTTCAGTGAAATCGCAGATGCCTTTTCCCCCTATCTAAGCAATCTTTATTACATCTTACTTACATGTAAATCATTTAATTTACGCCATAGATTAGGAAGAATTAACTAGTATTAATATAGGTTATGTAGTTCTTCAGTCCTTTTGCTCCGGTGGTAGGTTTAAACTTTCTACTAATAAAATATTCTGTGGTATTGAGAGCTCTCATAGTCAAATCTGAGGGGTTTCAAACCTTTTGATTGATGATTTTTTTCGATTAAATGTTTTAACAATCGAGGTATGTTTTTCTCTGCATTAATTGGAGCATTGAGATATTAGTGGATTTTGTGTTGCAATGATTAAAAAACATCAGATTAAATCCAAATTTTGGTAATGTATGTCACTGTTTGTGATTTATATCAGATTTAAGCCAAATTCCGGTAATGCATGTCACTGTTCTTATTTTTTTCTCTGTTAAATTTCATTTTTCTGCATAATTATCACTGTCAAGTTTCTCAGAATGTCAACATTCACCGCTTATTTTCTTCATTATTGGTGGTCCATCGTTTTCTCATTCCTCCTCTTCACCTAGTCTACTTTTAATTACCTAGGGTAGCTACAGGCCTTAAATCTACTTAATTTTTGTAATGTATGATGTGCATTGGAGGTTTTTATTGAATATCATGAGTAAGCTTTTCTGCCTCTCAAGTTTGGCTGTCTATAAACTTGAGAAACAGCATAGAAAAAAAAATTTGAATCTTATGTTATAATTCTGTATTTTTTAGGTGCCAATTTCTTTCTTTGTTTTTCCTTTTGATTTTTTTTTTCATTTTCTTCACGAGGGTTCAACAATATTCTTTTTTTTTACACCTTTTGTTCTGAATAAATCTGATTATTGTTTTTCCTTACGCACATCAATTTGCTCAGGAATGGCCATAGAAGGCTCAAAAGTGCAATCCTATGATACCAATGTTTCTCATTATATAAGTTTTTCCTGGTTTTTGAGTTTAATGCTCGATCAATTGGTGTTTGTTGTTTACTCTGGTTGTAAGTGCTCATTGTGCAGCCTTACCAAATACCAAGTAACAGAATATAATTCTGAAAAGAGAAAGAACATACTTTACTTGTTAGTTAAGCAAGTAACTAAGCAGATTCATCTGGTCTGATAGTGCTGAAGAATTTACCACAGTACCTTGTTGTAGTTTGATCTTTTCTCACTCTTCATCAATGAAGACTCTTTTATCTCTCTTTTTTTTCACTCTCCAAATGTAGTTTGTTTCTAGTGACGTTTGATATTCCATGTATGATAAACCAAGTAAAAACTACATTGCCATTGTACATGCAATTATCAAGCCTGGTTTCCCCACTCTGTCAGTCACTCATCCGCTCAAGCATTAGATTCATGTAGGTGATTATTGGGTGGTTCAGCTCGTGTTGGTAGGTTGAAATTTCATTGACCTTATCCTGGAGTGGTGAGAAATGTCAAGAGTGCACACTTAAGCTCTGCTGCTCTAGTATGACATATCTGGCCTTGTTACAGGAACTAATTCCTTTTGAATTAGATCTGCAAGTTCGTGATATTGTATTTTAGCTGAAATTGTACTATGAATGTATTTGCAATAGTTTGCTAGTCATTGATGCCTCTGTAGTAGTTGTTCTTGTTGTCACTAAATAATTGCATTTGAGATTTAAATCCACTTGCAGATTACATCAACTTCATAATATTGTTTGCTGACTTTATACTACTAGTCAGCCATGGATCGCCGGAGTTGGCCCTGGAAGAAAAAATCATCTGATAAAGCCACTGCTGAGAAAGCTGTGACTGTGTCAGATTCTACTGGTGTCCCTTCAGCTTCAGCTGGATCCCAGGTTGATCAGGTCTGTTCACTGACGTATTATATGTTTTTTTCTTGTGTTCGGAAGATACCGATTTATTTTGAAGAACCAGTTACAATGATATCTGATTCCTATCACATCTCCGAATATGTTACATATCCAGCACATTTTGTTGGTAAATTGGACAGTTATGCTGGTACTATGTTCTTGTGTATTTCAGTAGACAGTGATAAGATTTCTACTTAAACAACTATATAGAGGGTTTTCCTTATTTATTTTTTTTTTTGGGGGTGGGGGGAAATGTGGGGGCATTCTCCTCAATCTAATCAGTGCTGATTCACGAGGGTGAAGATATATTCTATTCTCAAGTTTGTGCATTCTCACAATCTTGTGCTCTTTTAGCATGGTTTCATTTTCAGCATCACCGATATTTTTTTTGGCTGGTTTCAGCATCACCGATATTGGTTGGACATGAAATGTCATGTTGATTGCATGTACAACCGATTGGACTTCATATAAAACTTTTTAAGTGAAGTTTGCCGATTCATTACATCAAATGTAGAGGGGAAGCTTGCATATTTTGTATTTGTTAAGGGAAATAGAAAACTATTTGAACAGTATAATGCTAAATTTCTGAGTGAAACCGACGTTATATTTCCCAATTCTAGATGACAGATCCCTGGGAAACTCAATCTTCAGTTCTCCTCTTTTTGTTATGTGGACTATTTTAATAAGCTAGTTTTAGTCTTTTGTTTCTTCTCTAGCTTAGTCCAACTTAAGATTCACTAGTGCAAGAGAGTTGGAGATACTTGTCTTACCCCACAGTTTCTTTTGCATTTTGCGTAGTTGGTCTGATAGTTTGTCTGTTTTGTCTTCAAGGGTAAGTTGGATAGCTACAAAAAGCCAAAGTATGTTCAAATTTCTGTGGAGTCGTATTCACATCTCACAGGGTTGGAGGAACAAGTGAAATTATATGAGGATCAAGTTAAAACTTTAGAGGATGAAGTTAAGGAATTGAATGAAAATCTGTCAGCAGCTCATTTGGAGATGACTACAAAGGAAAACCTGGTGAAACAACATGCTAAAGTTGCTGAAGAAGCCGTCTCAGGTGAGATGTTGATCTCGTCCTAGTATACAGGGGAAAAGGCCAATTATGCACATACTAATAGTTTTGAATAGAAATTAGCCTTAGTACATGACTGATTACAGCTTCGTCCAATAAATTATCTTTTTCTTTGATCCTGAGTGCAATATTCGTTCAAGCAATGTATTCGTAGTTGGCTTGTTGCATTAAGCCAGCAAAGGTTCTTTGGTTTGATTCGGCTTGGATTGTTTACTATAACATCTCCGTGCACAGGTTGGGAAAAGGCTGAGGCAGAAGCTGCAGCATTGAAAAATCATTTAGAATCTGTTACACTGTTGAAGCTCACGGCTGAAGATAGGGCCTCTCACTTGGATGGTGCTCTCAAGGAGTGCATGCGGCAGGTACGAAATTTGAAAGAAGAACATGAACAAAAACTGCATGAGGTGGTTCTCACCAAAACAAAGCAGTGGGACAAAATTAAGCATGAGTTTGAAGAGAAGATAGCAAATTTAGACCAAGAACTGTTCAGGTCTTCTGCTGAAAATGCAGCCCTTTCGAGGTCATTGCAAGAGCGTTCTACCACGGTGATCAAAATGAGTGAAGAAAAATCACAAGCCGAGGCAGAGATTGAAGTTCTAAAGAGCAATATTGACGCGTTTGACAGGGAAATAAATTCACTTAAATATGAACTCCATATAGCTACCAAAGAGCTTGAAATTCGTAACGAGGAGAAGAATATGAGTGTACGGTCAGCAGAAGCGGCAAACAGGCAGCATCTAGAAGGAGTTAAGAAAATAGCTAAGCTGGAAGCTGAATGCCAAAGGTTGCGCGGTCTTGTTAGAAAGAAGTTGCCTGGTCCTGCAGCACTGGCACAAATGAAACTAGAAGTTGAGAACTTAGGCCGGGATTATGGAGAAACTCGACTAAGAAGGTCGCCGGTAAAGGTTCCTAGTCCACATGTGCCCTCATTGCCTGAATTTTCTCTGGACAGCATACAAAAGTATCATAAAGAGAATGAGTTACTCACAGAACGGTTATTGGCAATGGAAGAAGAAACAAAGATGCTGAAAGAAGCTTTGGCTAAGCGCAACAGTGAATTGCTAGCCAGCAGGAACATTTGTGCTAAGACAGTTAGTAAGCTTCAAAGTTTGGAAGCAAATTTTGAAGCTACTGGCGAACCGAAAAGAACTCCAAAATCTATTGTCCATATCCCTACTGAAGCTTCCTTCAGTCAAAATGCAAGCCATCCACCAAGCTTAACCTCCATGTCTGAAAACGGAAATGATGATGAAGTAAGTGGTGCCGGGTCTTGGGCTACAACATTGAATTCTGAGCTCTCTCATTTCAAGAAGGAAAAGAACATTGATAGTCCAAACAAGGCTGATAATTCAAATCAGCTGGAGTTGATGGATGATTTTCTGGAAATGGAGAAACTGGCATATTTATCAAATGATTCAAATGGAGCTACCTCCGGTTCAGTCATTGCAAATAATATGGGAACTGAAAAGTTGGAACCATTGCAAGATCAGGCGTCTTCTAAAGTGGAGGTATCAACCGTAAATGCTCAATCTGATGCAGAGCCACTGCCTTTCATGAAGCTTCAATCAAGAATTTGCATGGCACTTGAGTCTATGCCCAAGGACGCTGATATGGGAAAAGTTTTGGAGGTAATCAGGCATGTTGTACAGGACATGCATGATAGTCTGCATCAGCAGTCAGTTGGGGCAATTCGTTGTTCTGATGCTCCATGTGATCACGAGGCCCGTTGTGAGGATGCTGAGCCAAACAATGAAAAGGAAATCTCTTTGTCGAGACATGGTAAACAGGGTAGAGAAACTGTCCATACAATAGGCCAAGAATTGGCAGCTGCTATCTCTCAGATTAATGATTTTATATTGTTCCTGGGCAAAGAGGCTCAGGCAGTTCAGGGAACACCTCCTGATGGAGATGGACTGAGCCAAAAACTGGAGGAGTTCTCAGGCACATTTAATGAGGTTATAAGCAGCAGGGTAAGTTTGGTCGATTTTGTCCTTGAGCTTTCCAATGTGTTGGCTAAAGCCAGTAAACTCCGCTTTAATGTTCTGGACTACCAACATACTGAAGCAGAAACCAGTAGTTCTGATTGCATAGACAAGGTTGCTTTACCTGAGAATGATGCTGTCCAGGATTCATTGGGTGATAGATATTTAAATGGTTGTGCCCACTTTTCTGACTCCATTTCTGATCCAGATATTCCCCATGAAGGAAGTTTTGTACCAACCTCAGAATCAGCTGCCACGACATGGAAGTGCTCACTGGAGGAGTTTGAACAGCTGAAATTAGAAAAAGATAACATGGTAATGGATCTAGCTACATGTAGGGAAAATCTGGAAAGCACCAAGTCCCAGATGCAGGAAACAGAACAGCTTCTAGCAGAGGTTAAATCACAATTGACTTCTGCTCAAAAGTTGAATAGTTTGGCTGAGACACAGCTGAAATGTATGGCAGAGTCATACAAATCACTTGAAACACGTGCTGAGGAATTACAAACTGAAGTGAATCTTCTGCGGGCCAAAGCAGAGAATTTGGACAATGAACTTCAAGAAGAGAGGAGGAGCCATCAGGATGCTTTGGTCAGGTGCAAAGATCTTGAAGAGAAATTGCAAAGGTTGGCATAATCTTTCTTTTGGTCTAGGATCGACACTAGCTTCTTGTTTCTCTCACACTTATAATTTTGATTTACGTTTAAAAGCTTAATTCTTTCTGTGCCAGGATGGGATTTCGTATATCATTCACAGATCAGTCCAAATACATAGTTACGATGTGTTATATGTTGTACTTCTTTCAGTGTAAAGCTGAGGCCCTAACTTAGTTAGGTCCGAATTGAAAAAGCATTTTCATTCAGGTCTGAATGGAAAGAATACAGAAAACTTTGCATATGACACCCCCACCCTGAGGGACAAGCCTCTTCTCTTTCCATATCTTTGTTTTAGAAGAGCACATTTTAGAACTCTAAGCAATACAATGTTTTCTATCATGTTATCTGCATTCTCTTGATTACACTTCTTCCACTCACAGTATTGCCGTAAGTTAGATAGTACTCAGAGGATTTGTTTTGGCAGAATCAACTTAGTTATTGTTGATGGTTTGTTCGGTGATTTGAATTTTTAAGATAATCATTAGCATGGCTCTTAATATATGTAAATGATATGCATCTAAATGTTTTTATTAATCACGTGTCAGCAAGATTTGAGTGATTACTAAATTCTGCCTGTGCTATTTTTTGTCAGGATTGAGAATTTCCCAGCAGTCAATGTTGACGCCCAGGCTAACCAGGTGAGGGGAATAAGTCATCTTGTGTTCCCTTGCTTTTGGAGTTTCCATATGGGAATTCACTTCAAACTTCACTGATTATTCAATCTTGCCAGTCTTGCTTTGAGACTGACAAATGTCATTTATAAAGTACTACCAGTTTATGATTAAAGTGCTTGAGAGTTTTCAACGCTACAAGTTTTAGTTTCCCATAATTTCATTTTCTCTTTGTGTTACAACCCTCCTCCCTTCATCTCCATCATGCACATGGGTTCCAGATTATATCCACGATTTTTACTTTATAAGTCTGTAAAAAAAAATTGGATTTGTCAGTGAACCTGGTATGGTCTTGGAATGGACTAAGCGTACAGCAAAAATTTGAAACCATCAGAATCCTTCATCCCTATCATGATCTCGAGTCTTCCATTTCCCACTAGGAAGAGGGGTCTTCGGAAGTCCAATCAATGAAGAATTGTCCATGATAGGCTTGATTTGCATTTGGCATGACAGTATTAAATTCCGAAGGATTAGCTCAAGCGCTGGGGTCTTCTCTTCAACTCTTGTCTTCATAAGAACCACAATTTTCTAATTTAAAGCATATTATTTTACTCAATGCTCCTTTAAGTTTATCTAAATTACAAGTTTTTGGAGAGCATACTAAATGCTTCCTACAGGTTTGTCACTTTAGGAAGTCCCCTCCACTGATGCTATATGCTTTATAGATACCTTATGTTGTGTGCTATTACTGATTTCCCTTTCAATAAGGATTCATAAGTTGAACTGTTTCTTTCATTCCAGGAGAGAGACTTAGCAGCTGCAGCAGAAAAGCTAGCCGAGTGTCAAGAAACTATATTTCTTCTTGGCAAGCAATTGAAAGGTTTGCGCCCTCACAAAGAGTTTATGGGGTCTCCGTACAGCGAGAGAAGTCAGACGGGTGCAGGCTTCACTGAAGAACCAACTACCAGTGGCATGAACTTGCAAGATATTGATCCCTCCGAGATAGATACTGCTACTTCTCCCAATCTTCAAAGATTAGGTGGTGAGTCCCCCATGGATCTATACAATGCCCCCTATAGCCCATCTGATTCTGAAACAAACACGTCATTGAGATCACCAATCAGTTCAAAGTATCCAAAACACCACCCTAGTAAATCAGGCTCTTCTTCTTCGTCTCCTAACCCAACACCAGAGAAACATTCTCGTGGGTTTAGCAGATTCTTTTCCTCAAAAGGAAAGGATGGAAATTAGAGCCTGCGTCTCCCAGGCTTAACAGCATTTTATTGGTTGAAGAGAGACCATTTCATAATATTATCTAGAAGCTGCAAATATGGACACTGAAGTTCCTGTAGATAACAATCTGGATCTGCTTCAACTTGTCCAGCTCTGAGTTTTCAAAGATGTTTCTCAATCGGGTCGCTTGTTTTGGCTTGGATGATTTTTGCTGAAGACAGAGATGGCAATCAGCCATTGAATTGGGAACTTGTTTCCTACTTGCATGCAACGCCATACACAAAAGCCGTTTTTCTGAATCTTTCAGGCCCATATGTTTTTTATCTGTTATTGTGAAGACTTTAAATCAATCGTGAACCGTATCACATGGTCCTGGGAAATTCAAGTTGCAAAGCCATTACTGCATGGTTCTCTTGTTTGAGGGGATGCTTTGTGAAGTATTGTGGGGTAATTTTTGTATTACCTGACTGTATATGATCTCCATTTCTGTTTATTTGGTTTCTTTCTATTATTCCAATCATTTGGGGTCGTTTATATGAATCATCCTTATTTCAACTTACCTGAATTCATTTATTATTTGACCAAACATGACATATATGTTCAATAATCAATCAAAAAATATATTAATATAATCATTATCACGTGGCATTTCTGCTGTATTTTTGTTTTGTTTTAGGAGAGAAGAAAGAGCTGGTGTGCTAATTTAAAGAATTAGGAGGTGAGTACTGTAATTGATCATGGAAACAATATAAAGTTACCTGACTTGTTAATGCAAGTATTTTCTTTTTTGAGTTCAACGCTCGGAGGTGTTTGAGTTCCTTAGATATGCATTGCAGCTGGTAGGTCTTCTAGGTCTTTTGCTTCTTCACTCTTCCTTTCTGAAATTCAGGAAAGATATTTTATTTATCCTCAACTTTACAACTAGATACTCGATCTTATTTGTTAGAATTCATCCTATCGTGCTAGAACACTTAAGAACTTTCAGTTAAGAGTTACCTTAGAGAGCTTCCAGGCAAGAAAAGGAATTAGGCTTGCAGGGAATAGAAAGGGGAGTGTGGCTACATTTATTTGAGTTATTTCTTTCGTTTTGGGTTATTATATACGCGTTTCAATTAATTCTTTTTTTCAATTGGTCAATGGTAGATCATACGCGTTAAAATTAGAATATTTATGTGAGACTTTTATTTTTATAATTTGACCCTAAAATACGGATAAAATTTATAATTAAGAATTTACGGCTCATTCTATTACCATTTCAAGCTGTGGGGGCTGTCAAAGAGAGTATATGAGAGACTAAAACAAAAAACAATAAAACAATCTATGAAGTGTATGAGTGGTTGTCAACTCACTCGAGAAAGGGGACCCACAATGCCCACAAGTGCCAGAAGCTGGGTGTGACAGAGACCAGGTAAAGGGTATCGATCATGTGATGGTCATCCCCACCTGAGTGGGAGAATGACGAATTTGTGGGCCCATCATAATCGACTCCACCATTTACCAGATCTGATTCATCATTTAGTCAAAAAAACATTGGTTAGCCTTTTGAACCCGGTGATCGGGGGGGTAAAGGACAACCACCTGTACAGATTCGTACCTTCTCTTAGTATGATGCTTCTGTATCTAACTGTAACCCATGAAAACTTGACGTGGGACATCTTAAAAAATTGCATAAGCCTTGGGTACTTTTGGGAAAGGAAATTGATTATGAACAAGCAATGCTTGTAATTAGATTGTCAATAAATCTTAGATCGAATGTCGATTAATTCAAATCTTAATTCGATTAAAAAAGTTCGCCTCAAAGTTGATTTTTTTTATTGCAATTTTTTTTTAATAGTTCATATATAAATCCCGTAAAAAATAAAAATTCAACCAAATTACCTAATTTGATATGAACAACTTAATTAGAGTTGAGTTTTAATAAATTCATATGAATTTCAAACAAATTTAATGAAATAGCAAGTAATTTCATCTTATATTTTGCATAATTATTTGAAGTTTAGATAGTGTTGATAAATTATTAATTGAATTTGTGAAATCTATCCATATATATATAAAACCTCCCATTTTTCTTAATCTCTAGAATTTTTTATTTAATTGATTATAAAATTAGGCATTATATAATCAACAACCAACACTTAATCAATATATTTCATCTTCCATTTTCATCTAATTAATTATAAAGTTAGGCATTATCTAGTCAACAACCAACACTTTGAAACTTTTGGTTTTAGGGTTTTTACAGTTAACGAACATCAATAAGTTATCGCAAGTAATCAATTAAAGCGACTCCCTTTGTTATTGTATAAAATTCGTTTCTGGCCCCGTCCCTATCTACAAATATGCTATCTCTATCACTGCTAAGGTAAAAAGTCGATCGCTTCCCGATCATGTCCATTCCTTTAATTCGCTCTCAATGGAAATTTCTCGGTATAGGAAAACAAAGCCAATGAAAGCTTTCTTGGTTAATAGAATTCTTCTTCCATTATCTCACTAAGTAACCACTCTATATTCAAATTTTTTAAAAAAAAATTCAATTTCAACCCCTATAAACTTTAACAATTCTTTAACTACCCATATTGTGTGATAGAAAAAAAAGGAAGGCCTCGACTGGAGAGAAGGAACGAGCGGGAGGAAGACCTCGGGAAAACCTTTGAATTGAAGATATTTGTTAGGCTGTTTCAGTTGTGTGGGTTCGGACAGCTTCCAAAGTTTGTGAAGTAGTGGTGAGGAAGTAACATTGCACCCAATTTAGTCATTAGAACCTTAAACATTTCTCCTATATTTTAAAGCCAACCTGTCTACCCTACAACAAAGCCCACCACCCAACACAAGTGGCTCTCCTTGTCCATCAACAATTTCTGTGTAATAACAACAGCAATTGCAGAAACAAACATCAAACATGGAGGTAGGGATGAGTATTATCATCCATGCGGATACACAAACACATTTACAATCCTATCTCCTTCTGTCTTGGGATTTCTATTCTTTAGAGCTCAATCCAAAGTTCGACAAAAAAAGGTCGCTGAGAAAATATCTGTAGAAAAATGGGCTATGTTGAAAAATTCTAGAAATTCAGTAAAGAAGTTTTTTTCGAAACAATAATGATACTTATAACTAATTTAAGAATTTTTTTAGCAAAAAAAAAAATTATTTAAGAACTTAATGCATTATAATCATTAGCTGGGTTGATGATGGACTCTGATAAATGGTGGATGAACACGTGCTCAGAGGGACGAGGTCCATAGCTCGAATTGGGCTTAGCTTGCGAGTTCGATAGCTTGGGTATCCTCTAGCTAGGCAGAGTCCAACTACATAACAACTTTGATTAGTTCAACTCAGCTAGGGCCTCCACCTAACCAGGAAGACCACTTCTAACACTCAAGCGCAACTGCCTCTATTTGAATTAAGGGATAAGGAACCCTAACCACACAATTAAGCTAGCCTATAAAAGGGAAAGAGGGGAGATCAACTAAGGTACACAAGATCCATTCTAGCTCTATACTCTCCATCCAAAACTCCCAATCTAACTTTTAGGCCTCGAAAGATCGACCCTGCAGTCTCTTCGGTTTTCGACTTACCCTTGTGGGTACCTCTATTGATTGTTCAGAGACTAATCTTAATCACGGAGCTCAAAGAGCAAATTTTGGCATCAATAGACTCTATTTAATTTTGAAACTCACTCCTAATATAATGGTCACGATAGATTTAGTTCTCACATTAGGTTCACATATTAAGTTCTACTAGCATTTCTTTTTCCATGACAAACGTGTAGTATAAATTAATATTTCTATGGGTAATGTCAGAATTTCACCAAATGATGTAGCACAAACACCATCAACAAAATTTCATAAAATAAGTAAAAGTGAGACTAAAAATACCACTATATTAGCGTCATTTCAATTGGGTAGTTTTTTTTTTTTTTTTGGGTCTCAATTTTAGTAAATAGGAGAAAGCTGATACAATAGTTTTCTTTATCAATAAAAGAAAGTGTCGTGATCATCTTAAAAGTGGCATGGCATCTTAGCTATTATTCCTAGATCATTGTGAAGAGCTAATTAAAATTGACACAGGCCGATGACAAAGAAAGATTTGGACTTATATAACGAAATAAAGATTACATTCTTGCAGAAATTGCTGGAAAGAAACATTGAAAAGACATGGAAGAATGAAACTCAAAAGTTACCAAGATATCAACTTTAAGCTACTACTATTCTGATTTGAATATGAAGTTGTATACAGTAAAAAAGATCGGTATTGTATTGATATTTATTACTTTTATAGGTATTTTCATTATTATTGTGATTATTTTTATCGTTTTTGTGATACCAAAAAAAAGTGATAAAAATAATTACTGTAACAGCGGTAAAAATACCCACAAAAATAATAAATTTTTTTGTTATAAAAATATACATAAAAATTATAAAAAAAAAAATACCCACATAACAAAATTTGGAGTTAGGGTCCGGAATTTAGTGAAGTCCTGTGAATATAATCCATTTCTGCTTAGATATTTAAAAAAGAAAAAAGAAAATGACATCCATCAATGAGGGTACTATTCTTCATGTGAACTTTTTCTGCAATTTAATGGTGGGTGTGGTCCCATTTCTGAACTTTAGAGGGCCCCTAAACACTCATCTCTTAGGTTCAATGCCGTTGATTGAGGGAGACGGTTGAATAAAGTCACAAAATCTTTACTAGGGATAACAAACCCCTCTTGAGAAAAGTTATAGTATAATCATAAACAGTAATTTTAACCCCAACATAGTTTAAGGGTGTATTTGGGTAGTGAGTTAAGGTGGATTAACCTTCATAAGGGTAGGGTAATAAGGCAATGGGTCCTACAAAACTTTTGTTTGGGAAGTCAAAATTGTACTAGGATATAAATCCTGGGTCTATCCTTGACCCGGATGCTATAGTGCTTTTTAACCATACTACATGGATTAAAATTAACCCACCTCCACCCTGAGTTTCAATCCCAACCGACGAGTTATGAAAGGTAATGACATATTTACCCACCTTCCTCTCTTGATAGCTCTTTCTCTCTCTTGCTTTGTGAAGGTGACGAAGCCCAAGCCTAGGGTTTTTGCTGGGATGGGTTTGGGTGAGGGAATGGATCGAATGAAGAAGAGATCTTCACCAGCACCACCCCTAACCTCGGCCGTTCACAGACAAAATCATCCACCATTGAAATCAACCAGCACGATGGTGGATGATTTTGAACCCTAATTTCTCTATTTCTCAAATATGATAATGGTGGATGTTTTTATTATGTGGTGGTGGTGGTGGTGGTGGTGGCGGTGGCGTTTCTGTTCTATTGTGGTGGTGGCATTTTCTATTCTGTTGTGGAGGTGGTGGTGGTGAGTACTGTACAGGTCTGGTTCATCAATGAGTATAATGGTAAATATCTACAAAAGTCAAGTGGAGTCCATACCATTTAATTGTTCCTTGCCAAATAGTGGTTTGGGTTGGATGGTATACATAACTCATCTAATTAAGTTGTCGAATGGGTTTGGGTGGAATGGGTTAAGATGCAAAAAATTCAATTTATTCCTATTCTTGTCGATTATCCATATGCATCCTAAGTGATAATAATGACAAATTGTAAATTTGTAATCTTTTGAGATTAGACTCTGAGGGATTTATCTATAATAAATACCTGAGTCCAAACATGGATGACCTACCTTGGACTAGATCGAAGAGGAGATTAGTCAAACTACTCATAAATTGATTCATATTCCCTTAATCGTTAACTAAAAAAATAATTAAACAGTGACCTTAATAAAATAATAAAAGTGTTTCAGGATGTTCTTGATATCATGAATTTGAGATACGAAAACAATTTTTATATAATTGGAATCCGTCTAACAAGTATTAACATCCGATCTTTTTTTATATCGAAAATCTCACTCAAATAATTTTTAATAGAAAAAAAAATGGAAAAAATTGTTAAGTTGAATTTTAGAAGGATACGGATTATAGGATTATGTTGGGAGTGCCAACAAAATTTAATTAATCCAAGTACTTTATATTTTAATGTGTAAACATTTCTTGCTATAGCGTAAAGTACATTGCCTTGCACCTAGTACATTTTCTTACAAAAGAAAAACCGTTAACATTTAACAATCAATCAGGTCCAACAGTCCAAACCTCAAATAACCAGCCAGTTAGCCGTGTCCGGTCAGTACGGATTGAATGGGGCCATTGATTCAATGGTTAGGAAGAGACCACCTGCATTGGACAGAGATAGGGTTCAAGATAAAAAAAATAGGTAATGGCTATGTTTATTAAATTTTTTTATCAAATTTCCGTCCAAAATGACGTGGTATAATGTTTTACCACCAGATGAGTAAATTTTATTAATATTTAATGACAAAAATTATGCTACATTATTTAGTATAAAAGATTTGGTAAATTTTTTTGGTAAACATAACATTTTCCTAAAAAATATATACAGTATATTTAATGCAGGATATATAAAAGAAAGCTACATGATAAATTAAGATCGTTGAAAATAGCATTAATCAAGAGCCAATCAAGGTTAATTATGAACAAAGTGTTAAAAAATTTCAAAAGACTCCATTCCAAAAAACTCTCAGACGATGTGAATAATGAGCAATGTTGAAGTCTCTTCAATTCATCGACTTTAAGCCAAAAAACCATATTTAGGGCATTTTTTTTATTTTATCACATTGTTTGGGGTATTTTCATAATATTACTTATTTATTTGTTTTTTTAGTAATTTAATATCATTAAGGTTTCGTATTTACTTTGAATGAATCTAGAAGACAAGTTATCTTATCAATTATCACTATGTAACGAAGATGATACCAAGTGCTACATGATAGAAAGGAAATGAGTTGGATTTCATGGAGATACAAGTGATCAAAAGGGTAATGTTAATCTGGTTGCCAACAAATTCTACTCTTTTTTTCAGCTCTTTTGGTGCAATGGTGAAGCGATAAGATTGAGTTGTTATTTTTTACACGTTTCTTAACTAATTTTTTTTTTTTTGATTTGGTTAAAGGCAGGTCATCCATGTTGAAATTTGAGTATTCATGAAAAATAAATATCTCATTACTTGATCCCAAAGAGTTGTTATAATTCAAACTTATGACATTTAAGTTTACAATTTATCCACGTTACCACTTAAGATACTTGTGAATTTAAAATAAATTATTTGTATTAGGGTTTAATTTGAACCAAGTAAATTCTACGGTCCTTTACCAAGTGGTTGGCATGGTTTTGCTTTCATTCACTAGCATTGAGAGATGTATGTGACTGCAACACAAAGACAAACCCTATTAAGTGTATAACATAAGTAATTGACTGTACAACTACCACCCATTGCTCTCGAGATCAAAAACAAACATAGAATATCATGATGAAGTAAAGTTTGAACATGGTTATCTTTCTTTCTTTTCGAGAGCCGTTCTTTAATTAACAGTTTCATTTGACAGTTCAACCTGGACTACATACTAAATAGTCTTCTCTGCTTTTCGTTTTTCACATGATGTCACTTAATGGAAACAAAGAGATCTAACAGAGAAAGAGAGTATGATAAAAAGGGTAACAACCATGGATCCTTAATATTAGTTCTCTCTCTCTCTCTCTCACTTTTGAATTATACAAATCTAAACCCAGAAATGTTCATGGGTTTTCTGTTAGAGTAAGTGTTAAAAAAGAACCCAAAAGCTAAAAAAAACAAAGGAAATATTAATAACTCGGAAGAAGCGTTATGATCTTCAGCAAATTCTTCAAACCGAGCAAACAAACCCCATTCCGATTGTTCGGAGTCAACATTTTCTCTATCTAAGCATCGATGTGAGAGATTCAAAAGCTTCTTCTTCGCAAGGAATGGTGAGACCCGTGTCGTGGTCGAAGCCGAACTCTTCTTCGGCAAGTCGAAGAAGGCTTTGAAACTCAGGACGAGTCAGGAAAGAGATTGGGACAATGTATCTGGTTCTGTTTTCACCAACATAGACAGCGAAATGGCCTTTTGGTACGTCCACAGGAAGGCCTTCTGCATCATACCCTTGTTTCTTTCCTAAGCTCGAGCATCTCTTGATGATTTGCTTGAGGACCGCGGTTTGTGATGATTTGTTTGATTTTCTAATGGCCATTTTTGGAGAGGGAGACTTTGTTTTGGCGTAAAAGGAAGATCAGAAGAGGTCTCTTGAGAGAGAGAGAGCAAGGAAGGTGTAGGATGGTGTGGTGTTGTGGGAATGAATGGGTGTATATGAGTATTTATGGTGGTACTTTGAGGATGAGAGAGAAACAATATCATGTGGGTTTTGGGGGGCAAAGGGGGCGACCACGGGTGTTTTGGGGGGCTGTGTGAGCTCAAGGACATGTTGGGAGCCAAACTCATATGAGAAATGTTTAGATGAGTTATACACACCACGTGGCTGGCCCCGGTGTGTATAACCAATAAAAAATGGACACATCAGCAGTTGTCAGATATGTTACACATAAGCATTTTAACAATTTTTTCTCCACCCGTTAGAAACGTCCGTCACCGGCTTCGAGCTCTAAGAAACATGCGGAGCCAGGGTGTCAAATTTGTAGCAGTGTTACAGTACCATTAATCTCAAAATTCAAATTTTCTACCACAAATCTTCACTCTTTTATCTCTGCTGAGTTCTGTGCTTTGTTGGATGGATTGAAAATGGTGGTTCAGTATAGCCTGCTGGAGTATGAGATCTGGGTGGAGTCTGATTCCATGGTTCTCGTTAACACTGTGCTTGAACAAGTGGAGTGTGCTTGGAAGTATCTGGCTATTTTGCATCAGATAAGAGAGATACTTGGATAGATGAATTTTAGAATCCGTCATGTCTTTCATGAAGCCAATTATGTTGCTGATGGGTTAGCGAATCAGGCTGTGATGGCTCGATTTTCCTTTGATTTTACTCAGACTGGAATGCCTAGGAGCGTTACTAGGTTGCTGAAGGAAGATCAGCAAATACTTCCAATGTTACGGTTTGGAATATGATTAAGTCTTTTGCTGGTGGTGTGTGAATATGGTTAAGTCTTTTGCTAAAGTTCTGGGCAGAAGGGAGTGGTCCTTTGGCAGTAACAATAATGCTCTTAAGGCATTTTTGAAGGATTAAAGTCATTAAGTGTAATTGTGGTTTTCTTTTCATTGTTGGTTTTTGTGAAATGCTGTTGCTTCTTGTAATTTTTGGCTTCAATCTATTAAATTTTTTTAAAAAAAATAAAATAAAATTACACTATCATTCATTGCAGGTGCCTGTTGAGTAAGCTAACTGTGCAGCAAGTTATTCCACATGTATAGAGATACAAATGCACCAACGGGGACATTAGTTCGGGATGGAAGTAGTTTGATTTTTATTTTCTTTCTTCTGATTTTGGCCTAGATGTGGTTAAAGTTCAAAAGAGGTTATGGGTTCAAACTTGTAGTGTGCCAATCAGATTTGTTGTTTTTCTGTGTTGGTTTGGAAGCAGTTTCTGTTATGCAGCAGCAGCTGTGCTATGTTGCTGTACTGGTTTTGTTGAAATGCTGGGGTGTATGAGGCTGCATTGGTACTGGGTCTATGCTGATATGCTGGTTGAGAGTTGGCTGTTGCCCAGTTGCAATGAAGAGGCTTGCTTATTTGAAGAATTAAAGAATTGTAAATTGCTTTCTTAGTTGGTATGAGCTGAAGACTTGCAATTTAATTTGTTGTTTCAACTAATTCAAGCAAGGGTTGCAATAAAATTTGATTTTCTTTGGAGTTTAAATAAGGCAAACCATTAGCTTTATTGCAAACTAAAGCTAATGCTTTTGGATTGGTATTGTGAGACAACAAAGGGTGAAGGATCATTCTATATATGCTGGTTGAGACAGTGTAATTTATATCACCAAATTTAAAAAAGTTTGCTGGGTATTCAAGAACTCATTTTTATTTAGTAATCTTAAATTAGTTAAATGACAGAACATTACAAGAAACTAAGAAAGGCACAAACGCCTTTACAGCAAAACAACCAAAATAGAAAGTACAAGAAGCAAAACAAGCCATATCGATAACAGATCAGAATATGCAACACAAGACAGCAGCTCCATCCAAATTCATAATATACAGCCAATAAACCATCTCCACAGCAAAGCCACACCTAGCAGCATAACAACACCAGACCTTCTCATATTTCAAATAAATCAACACTTAAACATAAAAAATCAGCCCTTATCATCAAAAACAAGTCTCATTACTGATTCCCAGAAGTTCAAGCAAAATTTCTCATTGATTCTCACTCATTCATGCCCTTGTAAAAAACATTGTTGGAGGAACTCTAATTAATTTCCGACATTGCAATATTGGTTTGTAATAAACTGGTAAAAGACATATTCGGGCAAGGCACATTTGCAACTGCTGAGTTGAAATGAGACATATTCGTACGTACATTGGCAATATGCATACCAAATAGTGGTACAAACTGCATACACGTGCAAATCACATAATTAAAATATAATTAATGATTGAATAATTATTTTTAAATTTAAAATGCAATTACACCTGATTTTGAAAATTTGTGTTATCTTTCATTCCTATAACTAATGATACCTGCTTATAAACACATTATAACAAACTCATACGATAAAAACATTATTGAATAATTTATGAAGGACAATAGGTTGTTACCAGACATGGTTGTCCCAGATTGTGGCATTCGGGATGTACATGCATCTGCCTTTGATGATTTTTTCTTTTTCCTCTTCTGCAAGAAACCTTTTAACCTACCATATGTTTTTCCTTTTTGTCTCAATCGTGGAGGATCCAACACTGGTGTACTAGAAATTTCTAAAATAATGTTCTCATCATCATCATCATCATCATCAACTGTATTTTTTCCTAATATAGTTGATTTGTATCTTCTCACTTGATGTACAATGTTATCCATGTTATTTTCTGCAATCTCAACAGTTGTATCATCATCCACACTAAGATTCATAACACTAAACACCTTCTGCATTAATTTGTTGAGGCGCAATGTCCTAGATGAATTTTCACTACTGTCTAACAATAAAGTACTAGTCATACGAAGTTCCACCCCTTATTTTGCATTTTTGGTCCATCTTTTCAAGATATATTTTTCGGGAATTTTGTTTACACAATAATAAATTGAATATCTTTAATGCATGACGACATAACCAGCCCAGTGACTCAATTGTTTACAACTACACATTATTGAATAATTTGAGCTGTCAAACTGCACAATATAGTCTCGATCACCTCCTTTCTTTCTTATTTTAAACATATGAGTTGTGTTGTCATGACTGAATTGAACCTCCTTTTGAGAAACACATTGTAAAAACTCATCTTGAAACAATCCAAAAATCTTGTGTGTTTACACCTTGCATGCAGGCTTTAAAATTCCAGAATCACGAACTAAAACACGAGGTTTACCAGGAGCACAATTATAATCATCAATCACCTCAATTTCACGCATTTTTTCAGCATTTTGTTCATAATAATTCACAAATTCTGTCAAAATCATTGTCTTACAAGCCATATGTTGAAAAACATTATATGTGCTCTCACTCCTTTGACTTGAGCTAATGTTACAAAAAAATGTATCACAACTAAATGCAGAAGCCCATTTTTCATGAAGGTTATACAATTTCTAAATTCATGACACATTCAAACAATTCCAAGTCACCATCATCTTAGTCCACTTTTCTTCAAAATCATTCTCACAGTCACAGTTATACAAAATATACGAAAATATATCCCTAAACCCAGGTTCACGATAAAGAGAAAAAATATTTGAAGTTGCATTTTTTGATATATGCCACTGACACAAGAGGTGACGAGTATTAGGAAACACCCTTGCAATGGCATTTGCCATCGCATGATCTTGATCATTAAAAATGATTTTTGGCACCTTATGATCCATGGACTCTAAAAAAGCATCAAACAACCAAACAAATGAAGCAGTTGTCTCATCGCATAAAAACGCACCACCAAACAACATATTTTTCCAATGATAGTTTACTCCCACAAATAGAGCACATATCATATTGTATCTATTTGTACGATAAGTGGTGTCAAAGATAACATCTCTGAAAATCTCATAATCTAATGTTGATATTCCATCTCTCCAAAAAAAATTGGTCATTCGATTTTCCTCTTCAACTTGCACAATATAAAAAAACATGGGATTTTCTGCTTGCTGGTGCTTGAAATAATTAATCAAACTCTGACCATCATTGGCTGAAATTTTTTTGACCTTTCAGCTTGTATAAAATTATGACAATCACTCTAAGTAAATCCAACATTTTGATATCCACCAGCTTCATTTACTAGATAAGAAAATGTTTTTGTAGCTCTTATACCAACATCAATCATTGATTTAATAACAGTTTTACTAGTATTTTGTATCTTTCGGGAGGATCTCATCAAGTGTCGTTGTTCATGTTCAACAAAAGTGTGATTATGCTCAGAGAAAAACTGTGAAATTTCATACACACCATTTTTCACCGTAAAAATAACACGAGCCTGACAACCACATCTCGTGTCTAATTTATAGGATTTTTTCTCTTCACTTGGGTCTGTAAATTCTCTAAATCCCTCTTTTGAACATAAAAATACGCGTCTGCTGACTACAACCGTGTTTCTTGAAAAGCTCTTATGCCCTTTTCGAATGCTAAAACCTTTATTGTATGCATATTTGTTGTACATGTTAAATGCCTCCTCTTCACTAAATGATAACATACCAACTTTCAACTCACAATCATCATTTTTGGCAATTAAAAATTGATCAGGTACATTAATCTCAAAGTAGTCAGCTCTAACTTCTTCGTTGTCATCGTCATAGATTTTTATAGTGTAAAATTATGTAATGACATATAGTTAAAATTTCATCCATGTGTAGCTAAATCAAACATACATAATTAATTTGAATCTAAAAGGTGAAAATAAATACCAATTTGTGCAATTTCTTTGCCACGATTTGAAGTCATTGTTCAATCTATGTCCTCACTCTTCACATTGACTCTATACAATAAACCTCAACACATGAGAAGTACAAAGTAAAAACATGATACCCACAATAATGGACAATGAGAGAAAAGAAACTAATTTCTTACCAATCCTCAAGTGAGACTTTTGAATGTTCAAAGAAAACGTGACTATGGAGAAAAAGAAAGAGAGATTGAAGGAGAGATGTTACTTTGAAGTGGGAATGAGAGTTCTACGGTGGGTGAAGATGGTAATAAATAAGTGGTTGGTGAGTAATAGTTAAAACAATCATGATTTTTTAATTAATGGGTAATTAATGCTACAATATCTGGTCAATCACTTGTCAAAAAAATGCAGCTGAGTTGACTTCTACAGCTGCCTTTACAGTAGTCATCCTAACTGAGGTTACCGTAAAGCTCCTAGACTTCAGCAACCCAGTAACCCCTTTTGAATTTTAACCACATCTGGTCCAAAATCATAAGAAATAAAATCTAAATCAAAATACTTCCCTCTCGAACTTATGCCCTTGTTTAGCTTACTCCACTGACACCTGAAGTGAAGGATAGTGTAAATTTTTTTTTTAAAAGAAGAAAAATTTTATAAATTGAAGCCAAAAATTACAAGAAGCAATAGCATTTCACAAAAAACCAACAATGAAAAGAAAACCACAATTACACTTAATGACTTTAACTCTTCAAAATGCCTCAAGAGCATTATCGTTACTACCAAAGGACCACAACAAATCAATTTAATTGATTAGGGAGCTGATCAATTACAACAAATCAATTTAATTGATTTGGAAGCTGATTAACAGATAATAACAACAAATTACAACATATAACATAGCAAGGGAACACACTTACCTACTGTCACAGATGGATGAGCAGCAGGTGGTGGTCGTTGGGTGGTGGTGGTCCTTGCAACGTGTAATCGATGGTGGTGGTCCTCGCTGGTGGTGATGAGTTGTTCCTCTTCTTTCGGTGGTGGTGGTCGCTGGAGGTGCGCCTAAAGGAGGTTAGGGGTGGTGGCATTGTCGGTGGTGGTGGTGGCTGCTGGGTCCCTCTCTATCTCTCTCTCTCTCTTCGAAATGTTTTCTCTTTTTTTGATGTGTTGCCTTCTTTCAAGTTTCAACTGAACGTTGGATAATTGAAATGGTAACAAAAATGAGTTATAAATTTAAACGACTTGAGTTTGAATTTAGATAATCTCTTACCCCTTGTTTGGTATAAAAAAAAAGTGGATAAATGAAAAATGAAGGATGAAAAATGGAGAGGAAAGAAAGAGTATCCTTTATTCGGTTTCAAAGGAAAACCAAATGGAATGAAAAAGAGGGTGGAAAGTGATTCCATCCGGCCCACCATTTTTTTTCCTTCCAAAAGCAGGCGGAAAGTGGGAGAGAAGTGTTGCTAACTTTAATGAGTCTAAGTAAATTACTCTTATGCCCTTCACGAGGTGCTATTTCTATATGGGCAAAATTTTTCTAGAAACATGCCACAAAGTCAATTTTTTTTGTAACAAATAGTTTTTATTTTACACTTCATATTTTATCCTTTCTTTGACTCTCTGTAAGGTGCAAATTTAGAATTTATAATAAAAAACATATAATTTATATTCAAGGGTATAATATTAGATTGAGTTTATATATTTTTTCATTCCATTCTTTTTATTTCTCTTACCAGATAATACAAAATTTATCTCTCAATTTTTTCATCCATCATACCAAAAAAATTAATACAATACAAACTCAATATAATATGATCCAACTAATTGATTACGACCCGATTAATTTAAAAAATTGTGTAACATACTTTGACGTTAAATTGATCAAAATTATAGGTCGAATTCGTATCATGTTATCATACCATATATAATAGACAATTTTTTATTATATCCCTTACTAATCAATTTCAATAAATTTCTCAAAACACAATAACCTTTATATTTTAAACCATTTATTTAGTTGATTCCACAAAAAAGTGGATGAAAAAATATATATTTTTGTACATATTTATTAATTTTTATAGTAAATTGGAGGGATTTTTAACATTTTCAAATCTTGAAAAGTCTACTTGCAATAGGAAAAAATAATTCTTACTAGTGAGGGTATACTGGTAAATTAAATTTTTATGTGTTTTCTTTCCTTTCATTTTTCCTCTGATACCAAACAATAGAAAATTAATTCATCCAACTTTTCATTCATCGTACCAAACAAAAATGAGAGAAAGTAATTTTCTCTCCTCTACAAATGGAAAGTCTGTCCATCATATTTTTCTATCATTACCAGTTTTCATCTCTCCTACCAACCAGACGATGAGGTATTTATTCCTGTAAATAGTATTCTAGTTCTCGTATAAATGACTTGTTTATAACTAAATCAAAAAGAAAAAAAAACTTGAGATTCTTCGTTCCAATTCACAATGTTTCCATTCTTGATTCACTTTTTTGACCCCCTTTTTAGGAGTTGGCGCTTGTCTAGGGGTAATTAGAAATCCACACAAGATCTATAATAGAAATTACACGTGATGACCCAAAATCAAATAAGAAACAAAGTATTCTAATATACTTTGGATAGGTTTTTATAGTAGACATCCGATAGAAAACATAGAGATTTAGTCGTGGGTGTTAGTATGTTATCTTTATCTTATCACATTCTCACCATATACAGAGGATCGAATTTTTTGTAATGAGTTATTAAATTGTAATTATATCAATAAGGTTTTTGGTCTGTGAACGTATATATAACATATCGAAACGACATATATATTTTTATATTTTGTTTCATTATTTTTGTTAGACTATTTTAAGCAAAAAAACATTTTTTATGTAGGAACTCAATCCTACATTAAAGTGAGACTTTCGGGCTCTCATGTGCGTAAGGATGAAACAAACAAAGAAGATACAAGTTTCTACTATTTACGAAACACACTGACGAGCCTAGTCCCCTGTCCCCTAAGTTCGCCTAAATAGAATAAAATATTAACTAGTATTAAATTTACTTTTGAATATTTTATTTAATTATTTTTCGTTTTAACTTTATTAAAAATTCAATTTTTAAATACTAAAGGTTCTAAAGACTAA